AAATAAATAAAATCTAAAAAAAAAAATCTTTAAAAAAAAAGAGGTAGACAGGAAAATGATAGAATAGAACATAATCCCATTTAGACACAAGATGACATCCAGGATTAGCTCAAGTCATGCCTAAAAAATTCTACTGTCCAATTCTCAAAGGACTTCACTTCATTTTCACAGTCTACCTAGATATAACCATTACTACCCATTTTTAAAATGCACAAGCAAGAGAAATTAACTAAATTGTTAAAGGTCCTTAGCTAGTAAGTAATGAAGCCGGGTCTCAAGCCAAGGTAGTTACCAAAAACAGCATGTTATCCTCATTTATCCAAATGGTTTGAATGACCCAAAAGCTTCTTACTGACCTATCGACAAATAGGAGCACACATACTTAGACAGTATGGGTACATCCATGTTTCTCACAAATATGATCATTTATAATTCAGCATCTTTGAGTCATGTTTTTGTCTGCAATATTTTAGGAATGCAATTTCTGGTTTAGGGATTTCTGCCTGTGTTTAAGCACATTCCTCCATCTGTCAATCACTTTATTCTGTTGTCTGCCTTTTCGAAAATATTTGTCTTTCAAGAGCTGATTATCAATCTCTCTCTCACATCAGAAAAACTGAGGTATGAGAAACAGTGGTAAAGCTTGGCCCCAAGACATGATGTCATGTGTACTTTCTAGTGGTTTAAGGATAACGCATCCTTCCATGGGCTCTATTCACTCCATTAACTCTCACAGTCCCTTTAACACTTACAATTACTTTTAATCTCCTGGCCAACATCAGTAGTGAGGTTTATCCACGCATAGCAGCCATGATCTGATTAAATAGCAAGTCACTCTGATATTCCCGGACATAAAATTTGCAGCCCTAACTCTCCAGTCTTTTGAGAGACTGATAGAGCAGCTGAGTTGGACAGAACAGGAACACCAAGATCCAATTACCTATAAAACCTCTCATGTGGTGGTCTCCCAGGATAACAATGTATTATTAGTTTTAGTACAGTATGTCTAAGTATAAACTCTGCACATAAATGGAAGGTAAAATGGACTTCTTGGAAGGTAAAATTATAAATAATTGCACAGATCTTAATGTTTGTTTGAACGATTTCTATTAAATTAGGAAAGCGTGCTTCAAAGCAAAGAAATTATGTATTCACATCATCCTTGAGAAAACAAACTAACCTTTAACTTCCCTGAGAGAAGAAAGAATTCATATAAAAGGACACAGAAAATCAACCCAAATACCAGATCTATCCATCAATTCATTAGGCTACCTCCTGGACCAACTGCGCAGATGTTTACTTGGGTTTCTAAAAGGAATTATTACCATCGGTTCTATTTTGTTACAGCCAATTGTGCATCATAGGAAGTATCTTACCTCTGGAGGGAACTGCAGAAGGCCTGTCAATAAATTAAGCCTCCCTCTGTGGGGCATGCCAATAATCACATCCGTTATCCCGCTGTAGGCTGACATTTTCAGCAACTCGTGGAAAAAGCCCATCATGCTTTCGGCTCCTTCGCCCCCATACCGCTTCACTGTGGCAAACTTGGTGGCCAAAAAGTGGTCAAACTCCTGTGGAACATCACGTCAGACACATTTGTTGCAGGAAGAGAGCCAGCTACTCAGGTCCAAGTCAGACACGTTTATGAGGGTTGTGGGAAGACCCTAAGCTACTTCAAGTGGCTGCAGCAATGCCCCTTCATGACATATGCCAGAGACAGGCGTTAACTAGTCCGGAGCATGGCAGGAACGCCTTGCCAAGGGCGCCAGGCAGCAGGGGGAATGCAGAGAAAATAACGTGAGTGGTAGAATAACTTAGCCCCAGAGGAAGCCTCTTAGAATTTATTCCTCTGGGGGGGAAAAAAGGCATGTGTTCTTCTAAAGCAAGGGCTGGGCCTTCGATTCTGCCCTGGCTAGCCCCTGAGTTTTAGTAGCGGGCTCGACAGTACTATCTCATCAAGGCGGCAAAGCACCCAACTATCCAAATGACTGGGAATCATTTCCTCGTCATCTTGACATGCTGGAGCCTGATCCGAGCCCTGACAGATTCACTTCCATTTATTTGTAACCAAGAGCTTTCATGCATAGCTTTCTTTGATCACTTGAGGTAATAAAAAGAGACGATCTTAAGGATTTTGCAGTCTTTTAGAGAGTGAATAGGCAAATATATAAAAAGTATTTTGACTCGGAGGAGAACCAGTAGCTCTGGTGTTTGGTGATCTACTTTTTTCTACTTAGAACCAAGTGGTGTGTGTTATATTGTCTGTTGTGTTGAGGCAAGGGGATAAATGGGGTAAGTAAATGCTTTCATTCCCTCTCTTCAATATTTATGTTATCTTTATAGAAGAGGAGCCATCCTATTCCATTGATATTAGCTGGTACTTTTATACCTGAGATTCTAGCATTAGTTTTGACAGGTGTTTTCGCTCTTCTGTGCTAAAAGTCTCTTTTTTCAGTTCTTCAAATCGCTTGGCAAACCAGTCTTTCTCCTCCTGGCTCTGAAGTTGAGAGGTTTCAATAGAAATTTGCCCACAGTAGATTTGGTTGAGATAGGCCAATACTTCCTCAAGAGAGGCCTCCTCCTTCCCCATGTTCAATAATCCTACAAAATGGAATCAAGGGGATCATTTTAAAAAGCAATCAACCACGTAATTAATTATAGAACATACAAAATATTTCAACTCAGAGCATTTTGTTCTGGATAACTCGGGTCATCATCAATGGCTATCTAGATTTTTCTAAAGGCAAAACTAGAAATATGGTCAAAGGCCATGAAGTAGTCATACTAGGAGAGGGAATTAAATCTTTGCTTTATGCCAAATTTTGATTCTATTGTAATTTCAAAATAAAAATTGGAACCTGACATTCATTTGCTTTATAGCTAGAAATCAGAGGTCCTACCTTTACCTGAAATATCTTTCCAAATGTTCAAGTCTTATTGATAGCTATAAAGCAACTCTACCATTGAACAGTTGGTCTTAATGTGATTTAATATTGATAGCAAAGCAATATTTTAAGGTAAAGGGAAATCTACCCAACCCTCAGTCAAAACAAGGGAAGGTTTGTAATATATCAATAGCTCAGCACCAAATCAATTATCAGTCATTTGCCTAAACCTACAAACCTACTTTATTACTGCTTATGGTTTCTTACAATAAACTTCAGCTCTTTGATACTGACCATTCAAGTTATAGATATTGCTTTGTGTATTGCTTAGCTTCTCTGCCTCACATTTTAATCTATAAAACGGGAACAGTCAAAGCACCTCAGGGGAGAGTTGCTAAGATTACATGAGATAGGAAATAACCCAATGTCCACTGATAAACCAAATGTGATGTAGCCATACGATGGAATATTATTCAGCCACGTAAAGGAATAAAGTACCAATTTATGTTACAATATGGGTGAAACTTGGAAACATTATGCTAAGTGAAAAAAGCCAGACACAAAAGGCCACATAGTATGACTTTTATTTATACAGAATGTCAAGAACAGGCAAATCCATAGACACGGAAAGTAGATTCGTGGTTGCCAGGGACTGGGGAGACGGCAAAATGGGGAGTAACTGCTAAGTAGGCACAAGATTTCCTTTTGGGGTGATAAAAATGTTCTGGAACTAACTTGATGGTTGCACAACACTGTGGATATATTTAATGTCACTGAAGTGTATACTTTAAAATGGCTAAAGCTCTGGGTAGCTCTGCCTCGCAGCGCAGGGAATGCTTGTTGAATGCTTAAAAATCAACAGGAATATCCTAGGTTCATCAGGTAGATGAAAGGGTAGTCCATGCAAAGTTATGGACATATGAGTTGACACAGTATCAGGGACCTGTATGTAGACTCAGCAAGAATAAGGTACAACAAGGGGACAGGGATGACACTAAAACAGCTTTTCCACTCCTGAAGGGCCATTCAAATTATGATAGTAGCATAGATTTTTGTCTCAGAGACCCTGAACTGAGAATTACCTAGCTGAGTCCAGTCAAATCCTAGAACTGAAAGATAACAAAATTGTTGTGCCCTTAAAGATCACTACATTTTGGAATGGTTTATTACACTGCAATAAATTACCAGACATTACTAACTGATGCATGTACCAGAATTTGACACTGGCTTAAGATTAACTTTAAAAAAATGACATGAGGGGCACCTGGCTGGCTCAGTCCTAAGAGCGTGTGACTCTCAACCTCGGGGCTGGGAGTTTGAGCCCCATGTTGGGTATAGAGATTACTCAAGAATAAAATATTTAAAAATAATAAAATAAAATAAAAATAAAAGTAAAATAAAATATGACATGAGGTAGGAGCCCAGGATCCTGATGGGTTATCCATCCCCAACTTCAAGTTCCCAGGCTGGGCAAGAAAAAAGGCAGAAAAAGTTCAGGCTGCAGAAATGGAAGGTGATGTGGGTTGTCACCTTACCTCTGCCACTTTCTCGCTATGAGCTGCTTAAGTTCTCTGAGTGTCTGTTTCCCTACCAGTAACTTCTTTAGGTAGTAGGTATGAGAATTAATTGACATAATGGATATAAAGTGCATGGCACATAATGGGAGTCTGACGATTTTTTTTTTATTTCAGGACTTGGAATTTTTTTACTCATTTTTGAAATAATTTATTTTCTTTTGTGGAAAGAGCACTGACCATTAAGATCTGTTTTCTTACCAAAGTTTTAAGTATACAATATGATATTGTTAACTATAAGCCCATGTTGTATAGAAGATCTTCAGAACTTATCTTTCATAATTGAAACTTTGTATCTTTTGACCCACACGTTCCCTTTCCCACCCCTCCCCAGACCCTGGGAACCATTATTCTACTGGTTCGAGGAGTTTGACTATTTTATTTCATTATTTTTCTTAAATACAGAATGCCTCATGAATTTGCATGCTGTTCTTGTGCAGGGGCCATGCTAATCCTCTCTATATCATTCCAATTTTAATATCTGTGCTGCTGAAGCTAGCACGAGTTTGACTACTTTAGATTCCTCATACAGTGGGATCATGCAGTATCTGTCCTTCTGTGACTGGTTTTATTTCACTTAGCATAATGCCCTCCAGGTTCATCCATGTTGTCCCAAATGGCATGATTTCCTCCTTTTTTAAGGCTGAATAATATTCCATTCTGTACATAAACTGCATTTTCTTTCTTTTTTTTTTTTTTAAGTTGGCTCTACGCCCAATGTGGGGCTTGAACTCATGTCCCCAAGAGCAAGAGTTGTATACTCTACCAACTGAGCCAGCCAGGTGCCCCTCCACTGCATTTCTTTATTCATTCATCCAATGATGGACATTTTGGTTGTTTCCATATTTTGGCTATTCTAATAATGCCACAATAAACATGAGAGTACAGATAACTCTTCAAGATCCTGATTTCAATTCCTTTGGATAAATACTCAGAAGTGGGATTATTGGATCATATGGTAATTCTATTTTTAATTTTTTGAGGGAACCTCTAAATTGTTTTCCACAGTAGCTATACCTACTTGCATTCCCAACAGTACACGAGGGCTCCCTTTTCTCCACATCCTTACCAACACTTGTTATCTGGTGTCTTTTTAATAGCCGTTCTAATAGGTGTGAGATGATAATATCTCATTGTGGTTTTGATTTGCATTTCCCTGATGATGAGTGATACTGAATACCTTTCCACATATCTGTTGGCTATTTGTATGTCTTCTTTGGTGAATATGTTTTTAAACTCAGAGGAAATGGGCCCTATTGAAAGACTACTCTAGAACCTCAAGACAGGTCCTCTTAGTGCTTGAATGTGCCCCTCACTGTCACTCACACCCCATGGAAGCCGCAGCTCCAGTTGGCATGTGGATTCTTCAAGAACAGAGACAGGAGCCCTACCTCATGTTGGCAGTTAACTGTCACATGGACAGTCTAGTGTCAATGAGCTTTACCTGTGGTATTAAAGGGTCCCTGCAGGGTCTGCACAAGAGCTTGGATTTCAGGCACATTCTCCTGCAAGGCTTGTCCACTGAAGAGGGGGTTGATTTTGGCAGCTTTATGACCATGTTCACAGTATACTGTCACCAACCTGGCAAGGCCATGATCAACTAATTCAAGGGGGAAAGAACACAGTACAAACAATTTAGGAAATGCCCACAAACCAAAAAAAAAATCAGTTTTTTCAAATAAGTCTTTGCAGGCTTAGACTTTTTTAATGCATTGCTCCTACCCACCACATCTCAGGATTAAAGACTACCACAATCCAAGAAAACACACTTACTTCTTTAAATTTATCTCATGATAGCTAAAGTCACTAGGAAAAAATAAAAAGGAGACAGAACTATGAGTGTACCTTTGTAAAAACAACTATGCCCATCGATAGATCGTAAAAGGAAACACCTCAAACTGAAAAGACTTGTTAGAAGGCTGAGATTCTGGATAATTATAGTTCTTGTAATTATTATTTGAGATTTTTAAATATTTTACATAAAAAGGGATGCCTGGGTGGCTCAGTCGGTTAGGCGTTTGCCTTCCGCTCAGATCATTGCCATTCCCTGCTCAGCAGGGAACCTGCTTCTCCCTCTACCTGCCACTCCCCCTGCTTGTGCACTCATGCTCTTTCCCCCTGCTTGTGCACTCATGCTCTCTCTCTCTCTGGCAAATAAATAAATAAAATCTTTAAAAGTATATATTTTACATAAAAAAATAGAAATAGGTAGAACTACAAAATCAATGTTGTATTTCCTTCTCTATTTCTTAAAGGCCAGGTCCCTAGTTATTTCATAGACTCATGAAATCTTACACTAGAAAAAGATCTTAAAAATGATCTTGTCACTCACATAATGCAAACAAACAAACAAAAACAAAACAAAAAAATCCCCTTTATAAAGCCCTAAATGAGTGGTTCCTTGGTCTCGGCTTGGAGGAGAGGCATTATCTCTCAATGAATCCAACTGGTGATTTTATATTGAGCCAAAAACTGCTTTTCTTCTCTTTTTCACATGGAAGTTCTTCCAAATTTTAAAGAAAAAAAAAAAATCCTTCATGCCCACACTCAATTCACCTTCAGTTAATCAAGGCAGCCTTACAAACTGAACGTAAATCTCTGAAGATGAGCAGATCTGCTCTTGAGGGCACACATTTTCTGAATGTTTTTTCAGTTTGTGTTTTTCTTCTTAGAACCCAGAGAAAATTGTTAGCATATTTTGAACGATTTAATGACCATTTCATGAATATCTATTGCCATGCAAGGAGTACACATGTGCTTGGGTTTGTAGTCAGAGGATTGCAAAATATATGTCTTGTTGCAGGCTCACAGGAAAGAACAGAGATGAAATGAGTATGTAAAAGATACGTTTGCACTAATACAACAGTTAGGAGGTTCCATACTATGTCTAATAAACTAGTAAACTAATCAATCAATCCCAGGAAATTAATTGATTTCAGTCTGGAGGGTAGTCATATGAATTGCTATAGGGTTCTATTCTGAATCCTACTGAAGTTCTCAATTGCTGTGTTGTGAAGTAGGAAACCTTCAGATTTGTGGCTAAAATCCAGACAGACCATGTCCAAAGCATTGTCCCCAATGGCCACTCCTTAAAAACACATTGTCCCTCCCCCACCCCCAAAAAACAAAACAAAACACAACAGAACAAAAAAAACCCCACATTCTTCCCTGGGCTCTGTTTGCAAGATCCTGCTTTTCTTCTAACTCACCGGCTACTCAACTTCAGTCATTTGCGGGGACCTCCTCTTCTTTGCCCATCTCTAAAATATTAGTGCTCTGCAGGTCTGCCCAGAGCCTTTTTCTCAGTCTGTTTTCTCCTGCAGGGTGATCTCCTGCACTTTCTGCAGCTTCTAGTAATGTGTACAAGACTACATCTCTAGCAGGACAAGTCCAATAGTAAATATGTAGGGTTATCGTCACCATTCTCAAATTAGTAGCCCTGTTGAAAACATTCTCGTAGTGAACCTACATCAGCTCACAGAGGTCACTGCTCACTGGACTTTTCATGCTACTCCAAAGCAATGGCGTGGGCATCGGCACACAGGTATGCTGCTCACTCCCAAGAACACATGGCCACTGCTATGTGAGAGAGAGCCAGAGAAAGAGGTCCGTCCCCTCCGCACCTCTAGGTACATCCTACATCCATCCTGGCAATCTGTTTTCTCTCGGACCCTCCTTCCACTGTTCTGGTTTCTTCTCGCAGACCCAATCCCGTACCCCTTCCCTCTGCCTCCCAGATCCTTCCATTGTCACCTCTGGAATTCTGCTCCATGATTAACAAACCTCTCTGCATTCTTACCCTCTTCTTTAAACTTTCCTTATACCCCTGTCCGAACTGGAAACTGCTTGCCCCCCACCTCCCTAGCCCCCGGAGGACAGCGGGAGGTGAAGCTACTCATCACCACACCCACCCCTCAGGTATTGAAGGTGGAGTCGAAGCCTCCTTGTTCCTCACAGGACATTCGCCTATCGTTATTCGCATTCCTGAATTGTTAGTGTTGTTTTGGGTTTTTTTTTTTTAAGATTTTATTTATTTATTTGACAGAGAGAGATACAGTGGGAGAGGGAACACAAGCAGGGGGAGTGGGAGAGGGAGAAGCAGGCTTCCCGCCAAGCAGGGAGCCCGATGCGGGGCTGGATCCCAGGACCCTGGGATCACGACCTGGGCTGAGGGCAGACGCTTAACGACTGAGCCACCCAGGCGCCCCGAATTGTTAGTGTTCTAACTCTGCAAACCCCCAGTCCTCTGAGGCACAACGACATAGTGTTGTCAACTAATCTCCATTTGCCAATAGCCATTACAAAACAATGTTGTAGAAGCTTAATGGAAAAGTGTCAGTGTATGTAGATGAAAAAAGACTATAACAGTATATATAGCATGAGCCTGTTCTTTGTTAAAATGTGTATAACACACAATGCATATTTCATTATATAGTCTATATAGCATAATATTAGTATCTATATACTTCATATATATGTATGTGTGTATATATATTTCATATATGCAAAGGAAATGGACCAAAAAATTGGGGATTATTCTATATTAAAATTCCTGATTTTTGGTTTTTTGCTTATCATATTTACTAAGTTTTCCACAGTGAACATGTATAGAGCTCTTTAAATTGTATCCATTTAACTGACTTGTTGCCTCCTGCACTCTGAAAGCTTTTTTTTTTTAAGATTTTATTTATTTATTTTGACAGAGAGAGAGAGCACAAGCAGGGGAAGCATCAGACAGAGGGAGAGGGAGAAGCAGGCTCCCCGCTGAGCAAGGAGCCGGATGCGGGACTCAATCCCAGGACCCTGAGATCATGACCTGAGCCAAAGGCAGACGCTTAACCAACTGAGCCACCCAGGCGCCCCTGAAAACTTTTCATTAGCGGGTTTTCCCCAGTGCACCTGGCACACCTGTCCCCACCAGGGGACTTCTTGCCTGTAAGAATCAGTTATATTTGTTCCCACGGCTGTTGCTGTGGGAGAAAGTAAAATATTAGGGGGAAAATCATAAAAATCTAGAGAGACATTGTATTCAGATTACTTCCGTAAGTGCTCTTAATTTTAAAAATTTGCAAACACAAAAAAATAAATATATTTGTTAAAATACTTAAAGCATCTCTCATTTCTTTATCATACTCCTTGCTTTAATAACCCTTTTTGAAATTAACTGACATGAAATTAACGTGTTCTAGTTTCAAATGCATTGGATAAAAGTGCTTCACCTGTATTACTTTTGTAGCAAATAGTGAAATTAAAAGATTTAAAAGGATGCTAGCATTGCAATTGAATATATATATTTCTCATAAAAATAACTTCCTATCACTGTATAAATAAACCAAGGGATTACTGTAAAAGAAAAATGACTATCTTCATGTTAGGCATCATACCACCCAAACAACTTAGTACTTAGGATATCTATAGAAGTTCAGAAGAATTTAATTTGGTGTTTAAATCCTTAAGATGCCAGAGAGAATAGGGAAAACAACAGCACATACACACAACTCTTCTTCAAAATGAAATGGAAAATACCGAAGGCAGGCTTCTGGCTCAAGAGACTGGCACAGAGTAGATGCTCAAGAAACATTTGTTATGAACTGAGTGAAGTCCTGAGAGTCAGTGTATTATAAGAGTCACAGAACCCTCGTGATGAAAGTTTCCCAGAGCCCTCAAATGTGCAGTACAAGAGCTGCTGTGGATCCTTCTTCCTTACTTTGAGCCCCTCTTTTCTGAGAACTGCATCCTCCCATTCCAGGAAGTGGGTTCGCGAGGCCATGTCTACCTCATTCCCTTCTGCCTCCCTCCCAATTAACGGATTGCAAAGACACCAGAGTCGAGGTGGGTTCGATTTAATCTTTCCAGACTTTATGACCTGGGATTGGGAGATAAGGGTGGTTCACTATGCCTCCTGTTTGTGCAAACAATGTGGTTTATGCTGAACACCTGCTTTCCTTCTGGAAGTCTGGAATTTTGGCACATGCAGAGGATGCTTACATGAACATCTGCTGATAAAAACCTTGGGTGCAGAGCTTCTAATGGACTTCCAGGTTAGCAACATCGCACATCTATTACTGTGTTTATGTTACTTGAAGAGGAGATCATTCTGTATCACTCCTCATGGGGGAGAGAGTATAAGAAAGGCTGCACAAAGGTGTCTCCAGAGCTGCCTTTTCCTGTGCTTTTTCCCATTATGATCCCGCTGTGTATCCTTATTACATCACTGTGATAAATCTGAGCCATGAATACAACTATAGGCTGAGTGCCGTGAGTCTTTCTGGTGACTCTCTAAATGTGGGGGTGGTCTCGAGGACCCCCGACTCACATTATGGGTGGCAGAGGAGCTGAGTACATTAACAGCTGTGCCCTGTGGGCCCACGTGCAGCTTTTGCCAATATTCCCTGAGTTAGTTCTGGTCTTCTTCCCCCCCACTGAGTCTTGGTTGCTACACATATCCTTCGGTTCTGGGAGATACCCTTGTATCTTTCAAATAAAGTCCCCTCTTTGCGTTAGATAGCCACAGTTGGTTTCTGTTGCTTGTGACCAAAAGAACCTAGGCTAATAGGGGAGTGAAAAAAAAAATATGACAGGGATATCTACATCAGTGACTTTATTCTCTCCATAAGCAAGCACAGCAGGGGCGCTAAAGGGTTTTGATTTTCAGGAAGGGTTCATATTAACCATCATGAAGTACACAGGCAGATAAACTAAACTTAGTACTTAAACTTAAAGTCAGTAGAGTTCTTTCTCATCATCCGGTCATAAATAGCCTCCCCCAAAATATCTAGATCACATCCAATAATCTTCCACTCAAGGCAGCATATGCTTATAGCAAGTGGGAATGTTGGATAAAATGACTGAAGACTCCAAGAAAGAGAATTTCATAACTGGAGTCCCTCTGAACCCCATTAAAATGTGATGCCTGCCTCCCAGCTTCAGCTTAGGAACTTCATAGATAACCACATTAAAACCAAGACTTTGTACCAGAATACTATATTCTGTACAGCAAACTCAGACCGAGGCTGTGCAACCGAGTTCATTTTATATCATACCCTCTCTTTCCATCTCAAACACAGTATCTTTATTAAATAAATTTATTTCGCCAGATAGTTCTTCCTTAAAAAAAAAAAAAACACTAAACAAAACAACAACAACAACAACAAAACAAAAAAATCCTTGTTCTGGTCCTTTCTGTTTTTCTCCCAATCCTTTCCTAAATCACTGCCAAGATAGATAAGTGTCACAGATTGATAGTAAATGATAATGAGAACTAACTTTTTTAAAAAAATTTATTTATTTATTTGATGGAGAGAGCAATTGAGCACGCGCATGCGCACGCACACAAGGAGGGGGGAGGGGCAGAGGGAGAAGGAGAAGGAGACTCCTTGCCTAGCGAGGAAGCCGATGCAGGGCTCAATCCCAGGATCCTGGGAGCATGACCTGAGCCAAAGGCAGATGCTTGACTGAGCTACCCAGGCGCCCTGAGAACTAACTTTTGCTACACACTGTGCTCAGTGTTTCACACACAGCATCTTACTTAACTCTTAGAACACTGAAATAGGTATCCTTAGCTGCAGAAGAGTAAACTGAGGCTCAAAGAGGTTAAGTGACTTGCAAAATGTCACATAGGTAGTAAAGAAGGTAGAATTTGAACTCAAGCATATTTGACTTCAATCCAGTCTTTTTCCATTATACTATATCAAAAATTGAAAAGGAAAGTCCAGAGCCTACAGCAAAAGGGATGAGAGAACTGGACATCCCTGGGACATAAAAAAAAAAAAAAAAGCTAATGTCATTAGCCTTTTTTGGTCTACATTTGTATTCCAGAATTATTGAGATTTTTAAAAATCTCTAATGCAATAAGATTTTCTTCAACTACTTTTCCCATGACTCCAGTAGAGGTTCCCGCTATTTCTAATATGCAACATACCCACAACCTCACTTCAACCATTAAAGCTCAATGCCAAGTTCAGTAATCACTCAACACTATTTGGAATCCTATGGCTCCCATCTTCTGCTGGTCCCTAATTTCCGCCATTTTTTCTAATCCAAATCCTCCATAATTAAA